TATTCTTATGCTTCTTGGCATTTTCTGTAGTTTTCTTTAATGGATTTTCTTTAGTTACCCTTTATCATGTTGAGGAATTTTCGTTCTAACAGTGTGTTGAGTGTTTTTCTTTCTTTCTTGTTTCTTATTTATTTATTTAGGTATAAAAGTGTGTTGTATTGTGTCAAATGTTTTTTCTGTGTCTAGTGAGATGATCGTATGGTATTTGCTTTTTATTCTATTGATGAAATGTGTTACACTACTTGATATACTTGATATTGTTACCCTTTAAACCGAATTTTCACCACTGGGATAAATACCACTTGGCCATAGTGTCTAATTCTTCATGTATGTTGCTGGATTTGGTTTACTAGATTTTTTTTTTTTTTTATAAGATTTCAGCTCCAGATTCATAGGAAATATTGTTCTGTAACTATCTTTTCTTGTGATACTTTTGTTGATTTGGTATCAGGTTAATACTGGTCTCATAGAATAAGTTGGGAAGTATTCTTTGCTCTTCTGTTTTTCAGAAGAGTTTGTGAAGAATTTGTATTAATCCTTCTTTGAATATCTGGTTGAGTTAAGCAGGGAAGCCATCTGGGCCAGGATTCTTTTTTTTTTTTTTTAAACTACTGATGCAATCTCTTTACTTGTTATAGATCTATTCAAATTGGCTATTTTTTCCTGAGACAATTTCAATAGTGTGTGTTTTTCTAACAATTTGTCTATTTTATCTAAATCATCTAATTTGTTAGTATATAATTGTTCATAGTATTTCTTTATAATCTTTTTTATTTGTGTAAAGTCAATAGTATCATCCCCTATTTCATTTTGGGACTTTATACCTCCCTATGAGATTGTGAATCATGTATGTGAGCTACATAGATAAAATATTAAAGAGGAGATTTAACTTTTCATAGCTGAATATAGCCTTAAATCTCCAGACAGAGATAATAGTTGTGCCTCACACATGTATAGGTTGTATGTGACAAATTGACACAGTGGTTGTAACAATGGACTTAAGCATAACAAAAATTGTGAAGGTGGCACAGGCCTAGACAGTGGTTCATTCTGTTGTACATAGGATCACAATGAGTTGGAGTCTACTGAACGGCAATTAACAACAACAACATGTGGCCCTGGAGTTGCTATCCTTAGTATGCATTGTTGTTGTTGTTGCTATGTGCCATCGAGACAGCCTCAACTCATAGCAACCCCTCCTTGGGTTGTTGAGGCAGTATCACTACGGAAGTAGATTGCCCAACCTTCCTTCCGAGGAGTGGCTGGTGGGTTTGAACTGCCAGCCTTCTGGTTAGCAGTCAAGTGCCTTAGGCACTATGCTACCAGAGCTCCTAGTATGCATTAGTAGTTCCTATTAGCATCAGTTAGAACTCAGTACTCCATATGTATCCACAAAGGGGAACTTGAAATCCACAGTTATTTTGAATTTCTGGTAGTAATGATCATACTATACTGCTGAATTTAACTCCATATATTTTAAATAAGTGAAAATGGTGCTTATGATAGTCTTTAGAATGACTGTCAGGTGTTTTCACTAAATCTATACATCCAGAATTTTCTTACAGAAATACCAATAAGGCTTATGATAACATCCTTCAAATCATATTACTTAATATCAATAGCATCCAAATGTATGAAGAACATTTGACTGACTCATAGGCCACCTCTATTACACATTATATTCTAGAAGCTCTTAGTGAATGTTTACAATCCTGAGACATAATATTTCTATTTGTATTTAAAGTAAAATGCTTATCTAAAATAATTATATGACAACAAATAGAGAAGACTTGCCCTGTTCATAAGTATGCATGTGTACTTGCAAAAATGGCATGGAGGAGTCATCTAACCTCATCTCATGTCACAAGAGGGAAGAAGGATCAAGATTAACAGCAGCACAAGGCTGATACCTATGAGACAGAGGTCAGATATGCCTCCGGCCTCCAACCCTTTTTCACCAATTCGGACCTCAACTGTCTCTCCCACGGCACTCTCTGCTTTTCTGCTGGGTTTGATAATTGACTGCAATGACCACACAGAACTCACAGACAAAACTCATGATTATGGGGTTTATTAGGAAGTAACAGGTTACAATTTAGGATTAGAAATGACTCAGGATATAGTTCTTCAATCAGGATAGCCTCTTCTGAGCCATACCACAGACAGGCTTCTCTCTAGTCCTTGGCCTCTCAGCCCTGCAGTCCCTTGGCTGCTGCCCTGCTCAGGCAAGTGTTACAGAGCTCTTTTAACTCTACCAGTAAGTGTCCAGAGGCAACCTACTCCTCCAGTAAGCCTCAGCCCGAAGGCACTCAGCTTTCTCACTGTATGGCTCTGGAAACCAACTGTGCTGTCACCTGCCAGCTCTCTTTCTGAGTCTCCTGTTGGGTCTCATATTAGGTCCTCTGCCAAGTTTCCTGCCAGGTCTCTTGGTTCTGCTGCCATTGTTTCTCTGCCACTGCTTCTCAACATCGCTCACCATCTTGGCAAGGTGTTACAACTCTCTCTCTCTTCTGGGTCAAGGAGGTTCAGAGCAAGGTCCAAAGGATGTGCTTCACTCCTGGCTCTTCTTTCTTGAAGGTAGAGAGATCCTACCTTCCTGTCTCTGAAGTGGTTCATTTTAAGCCTAGCAGGATGGCAAAATTGACCAATCCCTGTGCTAGAGTTTCGTACACTTTAATTTCATAGTCCTACCCCCACAAGGGTGCCATGTACCTTATTTAAATTATTGGCAAGCTGTCCAATCCCCGTGGTGGAGCATAAGCACCTCACATTTGCATAGTCCCACCCAGTCATTTGGTGGAAGTTGCAAAGACTATGGCTAGAGGGGCCATATTAATTAATTCACAGCACCATAGTACTCTATTTAAGGATCTGTGGTGGTAGAACATGACTGAATGTCATTTATTTAAGAATAATAACTGCCACATTTAAGGGGGAGAAGTGGAGACAATGATATTCAATCCTGTGATTAAAAGTCTAAAATATATTTTCAAAAAGCCCAAAAAACTCACTGCCATCAAGTCAATTTGACTCATAGTGACCCCTTCTTGGGTTTCCAAGTGGTATCTCTATAGAAGTAGATTGTCCAATCTTCCTTCCAAGGAGTGGCTGGTGGATTTGAACTGCCAGGCTTCTGCTTAGTAGTCAAATGCTTTAGGCATTATGCTACCAGAGGTCCCAAAATATATAGTGTACTGCAAAATATATAGTGCATTTCAGCATCTAGAAAGTTTTACTTTTATAAAGACGGTGTCTGGAAGATGTTGCTAATGCATTTTCCTTCCGTATGGGGAACAAATTGTTTAAGTATGTTAATAAATAGCCCTGTATGATTTGTTTTTAAAAATTTTAAAAATAAACTTTATGGATATGAAAAAAAGTTTATTTCAATTTTTTTTTCATTTGTTTAATTCAAGTAGTGGTCAACTAATGTTAATGATTATTTTTATAACTTGGGATTTGGATTTGTTTTCACTTTCATTTTTATCAATTGTGCTCTGTAGGAATTTTTAATAAGGAACATATATCATCTTTATAAAAAGCAGTAATTTTTCTTTTAAACAATTGGGGGTCAATATGGCAAGCTTTAAAAACAAAGATTAATTTTATAAATTAAATTATAAATACCCACAGTGACATAGTAGAGAATAACATTTCTGTATGTTTTTTTAATTGAGAAATAAAACTTAAAAAGTTATAGCTACTCGTGGGAAAAAAATGAAGAAAAAATTCTTCACAGTATCTTTCAATGTTGCTTCATTGATATTTTTAATTGAAAAAAGAAAATTGAAGACATGTTCTCTGGAATACTTTCAGATTTGACAGTTTTGGTTTTAAATATGTGTTTATTTCTAAACCAGCAGTTGTGAAAATGCATAAGAAAATGAATGTTCATAAACAAAGCTAATATGTTCAGTTCAATTTATCCATTCAGTGTTAATACATTAATTCCCATGTATAAAATTTGAGAATCTCTATAATGCTATGTGTGAGGAACATGCTTATAAAAGAATATTCACATATTCTTGAATAACTTATCAGTACTGATAGAATATCATGCAATTGATGGGTAGACTAGAGATAGGAAAACATTTCAAGCTCAATGTTCTCTTAGAATAATTTTACTATTGGATTCAGGTCCCAGCTGAGCAATAGATAAAAATTCAGATGAGATCCAGTTATTTAATGGAAGAGAATAGAGAAGTAAGAGAGTTTCTGGGATGAATGGACAGAGTGACTGTTGTGGAGCTGAAGGTTAGCCTGGCCTTTCTCTAAGGAGCTGTGAGCCTTTGGTCAGACATGCCAGTCTTTTAAGCAGAAATAAGTTTCATGTCAGGGAGAGATCTTTTACCTATTGTGCAGTAATGCGTAGAGAAGATATGGTTGGGTATGGCATAAAAATACTATGAAATAGAAAACAGAATTCTCAGGACCAAGAAAAGAAGAAGAGTTGACATAGAGCTTAAACTTAGACTATTGCTCAAAGTCACATTCCAAAATGTCTTCTCCATTGGACTTTATACTTGCTCTACCACACCACCTCCGGTTGCCATCTAGTTGATCTCAAATCAGAGTGACCTCATGTCTGTCAGAGTAGAACTGTGCTCCACTGGGTTTTCAGAAGTAGATCACCAGCCCTTTCTTTCAATGTGTCTCCAGGTGGATTCAAGCCTCCAAGCTTTTGGTTAGCAGCCAAGAACTTTAACTTTTGCATCACCTAGGTTCCTGTATTTTCAATGTAAGCATGTACAAATGAAACAGATCTACAAAAAAAAAAAAAAAAAATTCTCTCCTCTCACAGCATTTGCTACTAAATTCTGAGAAGAGTGTGTGAGCAACACAGAAAAAATATTCACTTCAGTCAGTACCGTGTTATATAACATTCAGAAGTATCTATTTTTATTTATATCAAAGCACCACACATGAAGTCCTTTTGAAGTACAGTGTATACTTCTTGTATTGGGCTTGTGTTCATGCTCTTATTCTCCTCCAGTACACCTTCAAGTTGCGCTTTCTCTTCTTAGAAGAGAATTTTTCAAAATATTTCTTTTTGGCATCTCGCAAATCCGAAACATGTTAAAGAAACAAGGTACATCATTCCAATTTTTCCTTGGATTTGAAGAGTCTCTAATGGTGGTGCAGTCCTCTACTGTAGCTATGTTGTTGGGCTCACCTACATCCCAGAAGCTGAAAGAGAGTACCACAGGAGACTTTAGAGCCCAGCAGCAAGCTAGAAAAGGTCCTCTAGGAGAGGGATCAGTACAGGAGAGCCTGGATACAGTGGGAGAACAATGTGCAACAAAACTCAAAATCATAAAAAAGACCAGGTTTACTAGTCTGATAGAGCCTGGTCAGACCCCTGAGATTATGTCTCCTAGATACCCTTCACGTTTGGAATTGAACTCACTCCCGTGGCTTCTAGCCAGACAATAGACAGGCATATAGGGTGAACATTCCCATCAAGCAAATACACTCCCTAGAACAATCAGTCTTGGGAGAACAGATGGGCAGTATTTGGGAGATAGCTCAGGGGGCAGGAATGCATAGGAAATAAGGACACAGGGAAGAGGTAAAATTACAGGGAGGAAGTGGCAAGAGAGCTGTGACATTGTGGGCATTGCAGTCAATGTCATGAAACAAATGTGTATGAACTGCTGTACTGAAAATGAATTTGCTCTGTAAACTTTCACTCCAATCACAATAAATTAGAGAGAGAAAGAGAGATAATGGGTACTAATATACTAGGCATGGAGCTCTGGTGGAGCAGTGCCTGAAGCATTTGACTGCTAATCAGAACATTGGTGGTTCAAACCCACCAGCTTCTCTGCGGAAGGAAGACAGGGCTATCTATTTCTCGAAAGATTTACCTCCTCAGAAACCGAATGGCAATCGCTGTGAGTCAGAATCGACTCGATGGGAATGATTTTTTTTTTTTTTAAATATACTAGGCAAATTACATTTGTGTCACTAGACTGTATAACAATTTTGTTAGGTAGGTATAAAAAGCACCAATTTATCGATGAAGAAATGGAATCTCAGAAACACTATCCCATGTGTCTAAGTCATAGAGCTTGAGTAATGAAGTTGAACAGGATGTTGCTGATATTTTTTTTTGTCATGCAGCCTCATGGCTTTAGACACAGAATGGGAAGTTATGGGAAGGACTGATACCCTGATTAATTTGTTTCCATTGCTCCCCTATTTTACTTACTATCGTGCTTTATTCCCTTTATTGCACACGTATCATGTATAATTTAGGCACACCCTTCAATGGTGTTACAGAGCTTAAGTAAAGTAATTCTTCTAAAGTATCAGGACATCTGGACTATAATCTTAGAACCTCTGCTCACTAGCTGTGTAATCCTGAGACACTTAACCTCCATGGCCTTCAGATACCTCAAATGTTAAATAAAGCTTAACAATACTGGTGCATCACAGAGAGGTGTAATTTAGATAAAATGAGAAAATATGTTGAAAACTTCAAAATACTATACTTTAAAGATATAAGGTCATTATTAGGAGAAAAGTGACATTATCAAGGGCTTCCCACATTCATGCCATGAGAATTTGCTCTTTATCAAGCCACTATATGACTCATTCTCTATAGTTTTGGGGCATAAGACTCTGGATTCCACTCTGCCTCTCCTGTTATCTCCAATGAATTATTTTTCAGTTCTAATCTTTTCATTCTCATCTATTGCTTCTCTTTATTATTGAGACAGTCCTAGAAAATGAGAAAGCAAGGACATTGTGCTTCTCCTTTCTGTTTTATGTGTTTGCCTTCCTGTATCTAATACCACTGAGGATGGACCTCAAATTAGCCCATGGAACAGTAAGAGGTTCCTGAAAACTTACTTCCACAGTGGTCTAACTTTAGGATTTGGATTACCATTACAATTCTCCTGCAAGAAGGTTATTACAGGTTTTCCTCACTATCTGAAAGTAGAGTGTTCCTATGAAAACTTTCATAAGCTGAAATGGTGTAAAAGCAAAGAAACAATTATCATTAATTTATATGGGAAAATTTTTGAGTAGTCCCCAAAATAACCTACCAACTCATACCAAATAACACAGAAAACCTAAAATAACGCTAACATGTAGTGTTCATAGACACTATATATTCAAAGCTATGGTGGCTTGATGCTGAGAGGCTGAATGTAGTTCCTGGGAAAGGAACTTGGCTATGACACTCTCACTGCTTGGGGGTGCATGCTGCCTCTTCAAAAACTCACTGCAAAACAAAGCTGAATGTTCAATTTGGTCTTCACCTTTTCTTTTTTCTCTATCTTGAGAGTGAAAATCCTTTTCAAATTTCTTTCCATTAGCAAAAACAGATACTAACGTAGGTTTTATGTAAAGCAAACTTGAAAAAAGTGGGGGATATCTGTACCTCAGAGATTTTTCTAAAGATGTGCCATCCACCCATTTCCACTGGCCTTCAACCACCTGGTCTGTCAGTCCAATGTAGAACTCTCTCTTTTTAGGTTTTGTATGGAAAAGGAATTCCTATGGAAGATACACAGTCAACAAACAGGAGATGAATTATTTCAGTTCTGTAAAAATGTTGAGGGTGATTATTATTAAAGGAGGTAATGTGATACCTGTGCTAGTGATGATAGAGCAATGGGCCTCAAATTGTAAGATCATGGAGGATCATTTCCTGACTTTAAAGTGCCAAAAAAAAAAAAAAAAAATCCTTCAATGGAGAAGGTGATTCTCAACAACCTTCAAAGTTTATTATCTGCTATTGACAGCAAAGTCTACTGCATGTGTCTACCATCAAACATTATCAGTCACAGCATAAAGAAAATGGGCAGTATTTGTTTGCCCTTTTTCATATGATATGCTCATAACCACCACCTGTGGTAGCCTGTGTGTTATTGTGATGCAGGATGCTATGCCACCAGTATTTCAAATACAGTAGGGCCACCCAGGGTGGACAGGTTTCCGCAGAGCTTCCAGTGACAGACTAAGAAGAAAAGTCTGGTGATCTACTTCTGAAAATTAGCCAATGAAAACTCTATGGATTGCGCAGAATATTTTCTGACACAGTGCTGAAAGATGAGCACCCTAGGTTGGAAGTGACTCAAAATACGCAGTGGTCATGATGTTGCTTTCATTCTGTTGTGCATGGGGCCAACTAAATGGCAACTAACAACAGCAATGTTCATAAGCATAATGGTCTTTCTAAAATTAACTGCCAAGAATATTTTTTTTTTCTCCTGTTAAAATAATAACTGTTAACCAGAAGGCTGGCGGTTCAAACCCACCAGCCACTCCTCGGAAGGAAGGTTGGGCAATCCTACTTCTGTAGTGATACTGCCTCGGAAACCCAAGGAGGGGTCGCTATGAGTCAGGGCCGACTCGACGGCACATAACAACAACAACAACAATATATAAACTTACAAGTATTTCAACTCATTCATCTAACAAACTGTTACTCAGGACCAGACACTGTGCATACGTACAGAAAAAGGGATGGACCCTGTGCAGAATGCTAAGTTGATACTGGAAGAGGTTGTACCCCAAATACCTGCTCCTCCGGCGTGTTGATAATCACCAGATGCGCTCCCATGGCTGAACAGTTATTTAAACTTGCTGACCAGGTCCTGGTGTCAGTAGAAAAGAAGTAGCAACTAGATTGAAAATGTTTCCAGTTCAATGGACAACAATTCTTGATGGAACCTAGGAGGAGAAAAGTTTCAGGGAATTTCCCAGATGAACTGAGTGAGAAAACAGAAATCTCCCTCCAGACTCAGAGAACCCATAGCTTATAGTCAAAAACCATGAAACCTGTTGCTCATGTCCCACAGCTTGCTGTCTAAGACTTGAGATAATTCCAATGTCAGTAAACATAAACAGCAGTTTTTCTTGCTTTTGTGGTAATCTCATAATCCTTATTTTCTAAATATCAGTGCCAGCAAATACAACCATATACATGTAATCACTGATTTATGAGGTATTTAAGTTATGACGAACTGTGTTTCACAACCTTTTTTTTTTCCTTTGTACATTTTATCACGAGCAATATGTACTACATACAGTGTTGCAGCACACAGTTTGCTGAAGTTCTCATTCTCATGTCAACTTCCAAACACAAATAAGGATTGGATTGATGAAGACATTGATAATAAAAGGCAATGGTGATGAAAACTTAAAAAAGAAAGAAAAAAATGAGGTATTCTGCTTAGGTCAGAATGGAACCCCATCAAAAGTCACCCCAATCTGTTTCAGTTTTGCTCCTCATGTAGAACCCAACAATGTGTTGTTAGCTGCCAAAGGCAGAGAAAGTTATGTACTTTATATGGTGGTCTTTAAGCAACCATCTCTTTTGTTGCCCCAACACATACTCTCAACCAAATCTCTAAATTGTGGTTACACAAATGGATTAATTATACAATATTTCCCTTTGAGGGCTTATTAAAAATAACTAGCTCAATATCTTTCAATTAAGGGTGAGGAAAGTCATTTACCAGGTGGGGAAAGTCTTTTACCTACTGTCGTGTGGCATCTTGGAACGTGACAAGAGTTGGAAGAGGATGATATCTAAGAGGATGGAGTGTATATTTCTGAGGCATTTTCAAATTATCTAGTCTACGTATTTTTTCTCCTTCATCTCATTTTGGAAATAGATGAAGAATGGGGGGGGGGGGAGAAGTACATTCCAGGGGATAGTTCCTTCCACTTACAGTACTGTTCATACATATACCTCGAATTTATTCCAAAAATTCCAAGATTTCCTGTGTTTCCAAAGTTCTAATTCTGTACTTTTGCCAACTCATCATTAGCTTATAGCACAGGCAAGCTTTTACATTTTTGTTTTTGCAAACCAGGACCAACTATGTTGTTACTGGCCGTCGAGTCGGCCCTGACTCATAGCGACCCCTTCTTGGGTTTCCGAGGCAGTATCACTACAGAAGTAGGATTGCCCAACCTTCCTTCCGAGGAGCGGACCAACTATAGTTTATTGTAAAAGCAATCTAGAACCCCAGAAAATGTTGATATTTAAAATTTCACTTTCCAAATTGAGGAATAGTATACCTGAGCCATCATTGTTACAGGAGATTTCTGTGATATTCTCATGTGGCTGAAACTTTTCCTCATCACAGAGTTGAAAGATGTGATATGTCACTGTAAGGAAATGGGCAAAGTCAGTGCTTGTTAATCTTTATAATAATAAAAAAAAAAAAAATCATAACAGAAACTCCAATAATTATCACGGTGTTTTTTCAATATCTACTTTTCCTTGTACCCAGAGAGGCACTGGGAATCACTCAAAGAAGGCAGAGGAAATTCACATTTCATGGTTTTCCTGATTTGTAGTGATGAGTATATTTTATTTCAGACCCAAAGACCCAGGGTAAAACAAATGTGCTTGCACTTTCTCTTATACCAAGTGTAAACCTCTCTATCCTTACTAGTCACAAAAACAGATAAATAAACAAGTAAATAAATAAATAGTGAGTCATCTGGTCCTGATCAGTAAGTCCAGAGCTTCTAGCTAGGCTCTCTTAGGGAAGGTCATGCTGATGATAGCGCAAAGGTACAAAAGTGAAGACTCAAGCCACCATATAAAAACTTAGAGTTCACCAAAACTTGGTAATAGTTCTACACTAGTTGGGGTCTCTTAAGGAATAGTGTGGAGATTAATAGGATAAAAAGGGAACAGGAAAACACACTGTGGGAGAAGAAAGCCTACAGGTGGCAAGGAAGTGTTCACACCCAATATTCACCATGGGGAATTAGACTGAATTTGACTTTCAGGACCCACCAACACATCTGGTGATAAAGCAGGCACTGAGAAGTAAGATGGAGATCCCAGCAGCAGTCCATACACACACTTGGAAAAAGAAGAATCCTCCCTCTGTAGAAAGACAAACATGGTCAATCTTCCCTAAGCAAGACATAAAAGAGACAAAGAAATTCTTAGCTTTATTTTTTCCCTCCATTCATATTATCTGTATCAGAAAATTCGCAAACTTGAACATGCATCAGAATTACATGGAGGGCTTGTCAAAGCACAAATTGCTGAGCCCCACCCCCAGAGTTAATTCAGTTGAAGAGCACTGGAACCAAGTTTTCAGGGAATGCTCATGTTGCTGGTGTGGGAACCCTACTTTTAGAATCAACAGAATAATTCATTACTAATTTTAAGACTCTGACTCATGAACTCAGAGCAATCTGCAATTTCTCCTTTCCAAGTCCCTTAGTTAAAAAATACGTTCGATCTTTTCTAAGATTCCCCTCTTCTTTCTTTATCTTTCTCTCTCTGCCTCTCTGCTTCTCTTGTCTTTCTCCTGCTCTCCTCTTTTCAGTGTTTCATGTTCCTAGCCATTTGTAAATGAGTCCGTTAAAACACTAACAATCATCTAGTAGTTCTTCTCCTCCTGCAAACACTCGTTTTATAAATAAGGAAAGTGAGTTGCAGAGAAGCGAAGTGAATTGCCCAAAGTGAGACAATGACTTACAGGAAGAGTAGGTGTAGCAGTTCAGTAGCTCTCCCTGATCTGATCTCATGTCCAGGAAGCTTTCCAGTATAACAAATTCTTCTAACCTTTCTTCTTTCTCTCTCTCTTGTTCTTTTCTTTTCTTACTTTTCTGCATACTTAAGTCTCTTCTATTGCTCTATCATTTCCCTCAGAGAAGGGATCTATGGAGGAAAAGGGAGAGTTGCAAATTTTACCTGTGCTTGGTGATGCAGATGATTTAGATGAACTCATTCTTCCTTTTTCTTCCTCTCCCTCTAAGCCCCTCTATCACCTCAGTTTCTGAGTCCAGTTGTGTTTTGTTGGAAATTTGCAAGGAAAAGAAATCTTGAAGGATGAACACCTTATCTCTCCTTAAGAAGTTCAAGTTGAGGACATAGGAATATTAACTTGTTCTGTGGCTGTGTGTTTAAGTCAGAATTTCCTTTCTTACATAAGGAGGACAGCAGAGTGTACCAGGCAAGATGTTAGTTCCCCTTACCCCAGGAAACAGCAAAATAGGGAAATTATGTAAGTATTCCCAGAAGCAGGCTGACCATGGGCAAATGCGAAAGTCTTTACAAAATATTGTTTTATTAGGGTCAATACAGTTTCTCTACTTTCTTCCAGGCCTAACTCACTCCCCAATTTTTCCTTGACACTGTGAAGTCCCACCTCTATTCATTCTCAACTCTCTCATTTCACTTTCAGTATGTATTACCTACACATTAGTTAACTGAAAAGGACACTTAAACTCCAAGTCTTCACAATACCTAGCACAGAGCTGGGTACATGGTGTATATGCTAATTACTTAACAATGCAAATTTTTTAAAATCTTTTATGCTTTTTCTTCCTCCTTCAGTTGGAGCTCTCAATGAAAATTCTAGTATTGCAGATCTAGATCCTTTTTATCAAAGTGTGAGGGCCTTGGTTGATGCAAATGGTTTGCCCTAGACTACTAATATGAAGGATAATCGTTCAAACCCACAGAGCAGCTACATGGAAGAAAGTTCTGGCAATCTGCTTGCATAAAGAGCCAAGAAAACTCTATGGAGCAGTTCTACTCCGCAACACGTGGTGTTGTCATGAGTATGAGTCCGTATTGACTCAATGGCCACAGATTTCATCAAAGTGCCTGCCAACATGTCACTTCTTTTGTCCCCCTCATCTGGACAGTCTCTTGGGATGTGATTACTGTGAAACTCAGCTCAATTCCTTATATCACAAACAACTTCTGCAGCTTCAAAGAATCTGTAGGTAGTTTAATCCTATTGTTCTGAACTGTTTCAGGAATTCTATTTCCATATTGTAGATTGGAAAAAGCCCTGGTGCTGCAGTGTGCTTAAGTATTCAGCTGCTAACCGAAAGGTCAACAAAAGGAAATGAACGCAACGCACTGCCCTCAAGTTGGATCTGACGCACAGTGACCCCTCCTTGGGTTTCTGAGGCAGTATCACTACAGAAGTAGATTGCCCTCCCTGCCTTCTGAGAAGTGGCTGGTGGGTTTGAACCGCCAGCTTCTGGTTAGCAGTCAAATGCCTTAGGCAGTAGGCCACCAGAACTCAGTGGTTCTAAAACACCAGCTGCTCCATGGGAAAAAATGTAGCAGTCTGCTTCCTTAAAGATCACAGCCTTGGAAACTTTATGGGGCAGTTCTACCCTTTCCAATAAGACTGTTATGAATTGGAGTCGACATGACAGCAATGGGTTTGGTTTTGGTTTATTGTAGACTGGTCAATCTTCCAATATTTCTAAGCAAAGTAGAAAGAGATACCTGTTGTGGAGTTAATTGCAACTCATAGTGATTCTATAGAACAGAGTAGAACTGCCCCATAGAGGGGATCCTATAGGACAGAGTAGAATCTTCCCCTATGGTTTCCAAAGCTTTATGGAAACAGACTACCACATCTTTCTCTCTTGCAAAGTGACTGGTGAGTAGATCAGTTAACAGCTGAGCTCTTGACTACTGCACCACCAGGGGCCCTTACAAAAGAAATAAGAGATTGTTATTCTTTCTTGCTCATGTCCTTCCACTCACATCACTGTGTGAAGTAATTCTCAAATTTCAAAGCACATTACAATCATCTGAAGGGCTTGTTGAAACACAGATTGTGGGCTCCATCTACATTAGGAAACATGATTTGAATATGAGTAGAATCAATTTCAATTAGATGTTAGAATGCAAAGCTTCTGTGGAGGGTTAGTTAGACAAAGTAAAGTGCCATTGCCTACCTTAAAGATACTTAAAAACAAGATCATATTGGTCTCAGTTGATTTAAGTTCACAAGTGTCAGGCAGCATAAATAGGATACACACGATTTGGTAATCTCCTTACCCCATGACTCACAGACCTTCCACGTGTCAGAAAATGTCTTTGTTCTCAAGAAAGGGACTTTTTGTTATTTCAATATATTGGTCAATTTCCTGTACATTCTCCATTTAACACTTGCATAGATTTATTAAACTGTTTCAAAATTATATATGTATATATTATTAAACATACACATATTAAAATGTGTATTATCAGCAAATGGCTTTTGACCAGTAAAAAGAGAGAAATTATCTAGTGGGTTAGTTAGATAAATTATTAAATGATGAATTACAACTGATATGATAAATTGTGACCAATTACCAATAATCAATATTAATGAACAATTTTGCAATAATAATCTTATTAATTTACAATTACAGGCAGTTTCTAGATTATGAATTAATTCCTTTTCTAAGTCTGTCTTTAAGTCAAATTTGTACATAAGTTGGAACAGTTAGGTACAGTTTGTATCAAATATCAGTTGGCCAAATGTTTGCCTTAGTATATAGTGTGCATTTCTATACATAAAAAACATTAAAGAAACACTTCAAGATACACCAAAACATCTTTAATATAACAATAATAGTGTTTTGATGTGCATTGCAAAGTAGCGTACATTTGTTATTATGAACCATTGTATGTACCCCAAATTTTTATTATAATAGGCTTTACAGGAGCAAGTTACAGGGGTTGTATGGAAATTGGATATTAGTAACTCAGAGATGACCTGTAATTAGATATTAATAAATAATTAATAAATTGATAACATGTCTCACTCTCAATATGTCTATGTTTGAATCCTACATTTTCTTTCTTTCTGTCAAATTATATAAATATTTTTCATGGCTAATGAGCTCTGGTGGCATAGTGCCTAAGGCATTTGACTGCTGACCAGAAGGCTGGCGGTTCAAACCCACCAGCCACTCCTTGGAAGGAAGGTTGGTCAATCTACTTCCATACTGATACTACCTCAGAAACCCAAGGATGGGTCGCTATGAGTTGGATTCGACTCGATGGCAGTGAGCTTGGCTTTTTTTTTGTTGTTATTAATGAGATAAGAAGAGAATAATAAGTAAAAGTCCCCCCATCTATTCCCAAAGCACCCTTCTATAGTCAGCCACACTTAATGATTTTGTGTATATGCTTTGAGATATTTTCTAATATTATTACATCTAAACCTATATAAATGTAATATGGATAATTTATTCATTTTTGTACAAATAAGGCCACACTATGCATATATTTATGTTTTGAAATATATCTGGCCAGCTATCATCTTAATTCTATTATTTAGATATTTCCATAATTTATAAAAAAGCGTTCTTCAAAAGGAGATCTAACTCATTTCTAGTTCTTTTCCTCTCTCACAAATGAGACAATGACTATTGTTATACATATTTATAGGTGTATACCTTTTGGCTCTATGATATATGTTGTTGTTGTTGTTATGTGCTGTCCAGTTGGACCCGACTCATAGCGACCCCTCCTTGGGTTTCCGAGGTGGTATCACTACGGAAGTAGATTGCCCAACCTTTCTACCGAGGAGTGGCTGGTGAGTTTGAACCACCAGCTTTCTGGTTAGCAGTCAAGTGCCTTTAGGTAAGCCAGGTGTTAAAAGTAATATTTGGTTTGAGTCATTAACATAGACACAAAAATATATTGGAAATCTTGTTTGAGGGGAATTTTTATTGCAATTTAATATTAAAAATCTTAGGAGGTAAATGTAAAACAATGATATATTAGTATAGGAAAAAATTGCTCAGCTGTGCAGCTGGTAAATTGTTCCTGTGATCATGATGCTGCAATTTTTTGATTAAAAAATTAATGCTTACTTTTAAATAAGGAAGAATAGAGAAGAAGACACTTTTGACATGTTCTTTTTTAAATTCTTTCTTATTCATATGTTTTCATTAAATAAATTTTCTTTGTTTCAAAGAGTATTTATCATGAATATTATTGAATAAGGGTTTTCCAAATTTTCTCCATTTTGAAATTTTGTTGTTGTTGTTGTTGTTGTTAAGTGCTGTCGAGTTGTTTCTGACTCATAGCAACCCCATGCACAGCAGAACGAAACACTGCTCGATCCCGCGCCAGCCCCACAATCCCTGCTATACTTGAGCTCATCATTGCAGCCAATGTGTCAATCAATCTCGTTGAAGGCCTCCCCCTCTTTCGCCGACCCTCCACCCTACCAAGCATGACATCCTTCTCCAGGGAATGGTCCCTTCTGACAACATGACCAAAATAGGTGAGACGAAGTCTGGCCATTC